ATGCAGATGTGCTGGATGGAGGTAACGTGTGTGTGTGTGTGTGTGTGTGTCGCTCTATCATGAGGACTGATTCTAGCTGATGCTTCTCGAGCCTCATCCATGAAACACGAGCAAGAGGCTTTTGTAGGTAACATTGAGTGCTGAATGTGTGTGTGTGTGTGTGTGTGTGTGTGTGTGTGTGTTCCACAGAAAGCGGACGAGCGGGCGAGCTTCACCGAGATCTCACACATGATCACCGACGAGCTGGAGGACGACGGACACGAGCTCCGATTGGACGGTCTGACGGTCACGTGACGTGTGTGTGTGTGTGTGTGTGTTTCTGCACATGAACTGATTCCTCCTCATATGAGGCCTTTATTTATGGCTCTGTTCCTCCAGTCAGAGTGTGTGGGACATCAGAACAATCCTGCGTCTGGAATCTGAATCATGACATAAAAACTTACAACATTTAGTCTTACTAACCTCACTGAAAATGTGAATGTATGGCTTTTTATCCAAATTTTGACTTTTTCATCTCATAATTATAATTTTGTATGTCATAATTTTAACTGTCATAATTTAGCAAATCTTAATTCCAACTTTTCATCTCATTTACATAAATGAGTTCTGATTTATAAAAGGTTATTTATTTGCTTGTGGCAGAAATGTGCTTCTATAAGTGTGTTGATCAGTGTTGAATAAACTTCAGATGGCATTTACAGAGTCAGTGTCCGTGAACTCTCTCTCTCTCACACACACACTTTCTATCACACACTTTCCCTCTCTCTCTCTCTCTCTCTCTCTCTCACACACACATACACACACACACACACACACACACACACACACACAGACACGCCGTATTTTCCTCACGCATTCGAATCATAATTAAATAATGAACACATGCGCTCATGAACCTCCTGAGACCCGAGCGAACACACACACTCTCTCACACACCAGTATGCTGCGATGTCGGACTCCTCGTGATTATGAAGGTAAGACACACACACACACACACACACACACTCAGAAAGCAGAAGGAAACTGAAGGATTTGACTCTTGCGAAAGATCCTGTACGTGCCTCGAAGCGCGCGAGTCGGCGCGACTGGTGACGTCACTGTGAGGTTAAAGTGAGGCGTTCGACATGAGAGTACGAGTGTTTTCTCTATTGACCTCAGAAGCTGTAAGTCGCCTCAACTGTGTGTGTGTGTGTGTGTGTGTGTGTGTGTGTGAGAGAGAGAGTTTTACAGTAATTCCCTTACTGACGATATTTTCAGATTTAAAGGGACAGTTCACCCAAAAATGATTGTTCTGTCATAATTCACTCGCCCTCGGGTCATTCAAAAGTGCACGAACAACTCGACGGGATAAAACCTGTCTATTTTATATAGAATTGTATTCACGGCATAGAATAAAAAGACTGACTTCATCTCAATTCAGACTTTTTAAAAAACAATTCTAAAAGTAAGAATGGCAAGATTCAATTGGAAGAAAAAAGTATTTTTACGGTACAGTGGTTTCACATTACCATGAGATCATGTTGAAAATACTTTCCTGCTTCTGCAGAAAACAAAAGATATTTTGAGAAATGACACAAGTGTGAAATGATGACATGACGAAATGATGATGTTTCTAATTAAATTTCCAGAGATTATATTTTACCCACACAGACACTATCGGACCATCAGCACCAGTATCATAAATATGTGTGACCGACCAGCAGTTATTTCTAGTGGTGGTTGATTACGAGCTGTAGAGAGTGTGTGATGTTGCTGTTTGAGTGTAAATCTCTAGGTGGAGTAGATCAACCAACTGTTGGTGGTAAAAGAAAAGGAGCTTCTGTCAGCAAACAGGAATCTCATTGGGGGATGCAGCAGGGTATGTGGCGTGTGGCTCCGCCTCTAAGTGTGTGTGTGTGTGTGTGTGTGTGTGTGCTCAGTCCAACAGAGGAATGGCTTCTTCTCAGGAACTAGTTCTTCAGTCTGGATGTGAGGATGGCTCCGGCTCCCAGACTTGATCTCTTTCTTCAGTCTTCCTCAGGTTTCTATCCTCAGGTACGAGAGGCGTTATGGGATGCCGTTCCCATAGCGACGCTTTCGCAGCGTTGAAGTGGACATATTCAGGGAACCAAGGTTACACACTGTACCTAACTGAGACGTTTTTACAGGGGAAATTGGTTTTTGAACAAAACATTTATGAAGCCTCTAAAATTTCAAAGGCTAAATTCACGTCTGATTAGATTTCTTTTTCTTGTTTATCACGTGTTTAGACGCACTGCTGATGAATGGGGAAATGCTCAAAGCTGTTTCAGGTCAACAGACTGAATAATGTGAGATGATCCGCTGATGGCCGGCGTCACTGACACTGAGGTTAGAGTTCGGCGTGTCGTGACAGAGAAAGTTGTGCGAGCGTGAGAATCGCTGTTGGGGTCAAATGTCAGATGTTTTGTGTTGTAACGTCTTGTTCTGTAACTCAATCTCTTACAGCATTAAAGATTCATCCTCCAAATTTGAGATGGAAAAACCTTAATGAGACGTTGATCTTCAGCTAACACATTGTTTCAACCAACTGTTTCGACCCTGTCATTGTGTGTGTGTGTGTGTGTGTTTCAGATGTCCCAGTGTCACTCCTGTGGGGCGTTTCATCATGTGATCGGGAAGGTGGGGGTTAAGGGGCGGTGCCACGGGCTGTCAATCACACATAGTGTCCAGGACAACCAGTTCTGTGCCGTCAATCCACGCTTCATCGCCGTGGTGACCGAGTGTGCAGGAGGCGGGGCCTTCATTGTCATTTCTGTCCGTCATGTAAGGCCACTCCCCCTCAGACACAACGTAACACAACATAGCCTGCTGTGAACCTATGTGTGTGTGTGTGTGTGTGTGTGTGTGTTTCAGACGGGCCGTGTGAGTCCTCTGCATCCGCGTGTGTGTGGTCACAGCGCTCGTGTGCTGGACGTCAAGTGGGACCCGTTTAACGACCTGCGCATCGCTTCCTGTTCCGAGGACTGTACGGTCCGTTCTTCAGCAGTCCGGTCATCGTTTACTCGAACCTGAACTAAAAAAAAAAACTTATTCCCACCACAGAATAAAAAAAAATTCTGGCAAAAAATAATCTCACAATTCAGACTTTATTTCTCACCATTATATTGTTATTCTCCCAATTCTGAAAAAAAGTTAGCCTGGGTAACGCCAGACCACGTATCATTGAGAATGAAACCACATGTTCATGTTCTCGTATTTGAGGCGTGGTTTACGAATGCCCAGAGCCGTATTATTGGGTGTTACGAACGTCCATCAAATGCGCCTGTACTCCCGCCCCGTTCTGTGATTGGTTCCCTATTTCAGGGGAAAATTTGTTCATGGTATCCAGACTGCCTAGCAGCGCAAGTAAAATCACGGCACGGCAGAATGGGGAAACCCAGGCTAAAAAAAGTCATCAGGATTGTGAGACATACGTTTGAAATGGCAAGGACGTCTGAATTGTGAAATAGAAAGGCGAAATGACCTTCTGAATTGTTTGTTGCAGGAAGAGGAAAAAAAACTGAATTGTGGAAAAAAGGTCAAAATTGCGAGATGTAAACTTAAATTATAAACTTAGTATATAAAATACGATTTTTTTTTTAAATTTTAAGATAAAAAGTTTAATTAAGAAGTTAATTCGCTATTGCAAGATAAAAAGTCACAATTACTTTTAAATTTTGTTTTTAATCCATGGCAGAATTACAAAACAAATAAAAAAAAGGGTAAACATTGTGAGATGCAATTGCAAGTTTTGAGATAAAAGTTGATTTTTCTTTCTTTGTTTTTCTTGCAATTTGCCCTGTTGTTCCTCAAGTAGCTGAAACACTCCCGTCCTCATTACCTGTGTCCTACAAACTCAGGTTAGAGTTGAAGATCAGGTTCAGCGGTCTCACAAAGCGCAGTGTAAACGCTCTCTGTCTGATCTAGAGTTTGGGATTAACTCTATGAACAGCCAATCACACGGCACCTGGAGAGCGTCAGTTTGATTCACTTCTCACGAGAGAGCCAATGTCAAAGTCAAAGAAAATTAGGAAAACTCGCAATTGCAAGAAAATAAGTCTGAATTGTGAGATAAAAATATGCAATTGCCCTTTTTAATTTGAACAGAACTGTGAGATGTAAACTCAGCTGACGTGTGTGTGTGTGTGTGTGTGTGTGTAGGTGAAGGTGTGGAACATCCCTCCTAACGGACTGAAGGACGACCTGACGGTTCCCAGTGTAGATCTGCTCGCTCACGGCCGCAGGGTTTCGCTCATCGAGTGGCATCCAACCGCCAGAGACCTGCTGTTAAGCTCCGCCTACGACTGCAAGGTATGACCACACACACACACACACACACACACACTGTTCCAGTTCTCCTCTAAATAAAGCATTTAACAGTGATTAAAGATAATTAAGTGTCGTTTAGTCTCTGATGTACTGATGCGCTGGATGTAGATCAAGTGTCTGAAATCACCCATCTGTCAGCAGTGTGTGTGTGTGTGTGTTGTAGGTGTTTGTGTGGCGTTTAGACACTCCAGAGGTGCCGGTGTGTGTGATAAACACACACTCTGAGCTGGTGGTTTGTTTGAGTTTTAATGCAGATGGGAGTCTGTTGGCCACGGTCTGCAAAGACAAGAAGATCCGAATCATCGAGCCGCGGACTGGACGAGTGCTGCAGGTGTGTGTGTGTGTGTGTGTGTGTTTATGATAAAGACATGAACTTCATCTGTGATGTTCCACTGGTCCAGGAGTCTTGCTGTGGCTCTCGTAAAGTGTCCCGGATCCTGTTCCTGTGGGATCTGAAGATGCTGGTGTCCACGGGAAACTCTTGCTGGAACCAGAGACAGTTTGCCCTGTGGGATCTGGTAACACACATACACTCATATTCAGTGTGTGTGTGTGTGTGTGCATTCAGCGGATGTGTTATAATGTGTGTGTGTCCACAGGAGGATCTGTCTGAGCCGTTGCTGGAGGAGGATTTGGATGGAGGTTCGGGGGTCATTTTCCCGTTTTATGATGCCGACACACACATGCTGTATCTGGCTGGAAAGGTCCATTTTCAATTTTTCGAGAAAAAAAAAGTTTTGTGGACTAGCCCTAAAACATTGTCCGAACTTCACCAAATTTGGCACAAATCCTAATTAGACGATGAAAACTAAAAGTTATCAAAGGCTTTTTGATAGACCGAACTGTTCTCGTATAACGCAACAATGAATATTTTTATTTAACCTTTATTTAACCAGATTAAAACCTATTTTTCAAGAGAGACCTGGCTAAAATATTAGCATATTCAGTTACTAACATGAACACCAAGCACACGCACAACAAGGAACATTTAAACAAGATCCTCAAGATACATGAACACACAACATCAGACTACTTAAAAATACAATACCTACCATAGGTTTGAACTATTGAATTATTTTAAAAACAGTGACAACAATTTATGGCATCTATTTCCAAAACTTTCATGTGTTGTTTAAATTCACCAAAAGAAATCAGAATTCACAATTGGAAATCATATATGACGGTGAGCACGCCACAATTGACATGAGCTAATATAAAGCTTAGAGCGCCATCTACTGGACACAAGTTAAAATAATGAAATAAAACATGAAACTTTTGTGCAAATGACTGAAAGCACTGGCGCTGGCTGGAACTAAACACTGGCGGGGAAAGAGTTACGATTAAGATCCACAGTATTGACCTGTGTTAGGGTGTGTGTGTGTGTGTGTGTGTGTGTCTGTTTCTGTGGAGTGTCTTCATGAGATATTTAATTAAGAAGAAATGTAATATTTTTTTCATTAAACAAAACAATATCAAGTGTCTTGATGTAAGAGTTTGATATTTTTACAGGTAGTAGGAAAATAATTGAACTGTGTGTGTGTGTGTGTGTGTGTGTGTGTGTGTGTTTCAGGGTGATGGTAACATTCGGTATTATGAGGTCAGTGCGGAGAGACCCTTCATTCACTTCCTGTCTGAGTATCGGTCTACGTCGCCTCAGAGAGGCTTGGGTACACACACACACACACACACACAGATGTTGACATGAGCGCTGCTCTGCAGACTCATTGGTTGATGGTGTGTTTAGGTGTGATGCCCAAGCGTGGTCTGAACATCAGTGTGTGTGAGGTGTTCAGATTCTACAGACTGCTCACCGTCAAACATCTGCTGGAGCCGCTGAGCTTCTGTGTGCCGCGGACGGTAGGTGGGAGGGGCCTATGTGTGGGAGGAGCCTGTGTATGGGAGGAGCCCGTGGGTGGGAGGACTCAGTGTGTGGGGGAGGAGCATAAGTGGGAGGTTTCCCGAGCTGTTAATGAGGTTGTGATGTTTGTGTTTCTGTCAGCGGTGTGAGGGTTTTCAGGAGGATATTTATCCGGCCACAGCAGCCAATGAACCGGCCCTGACCGCAGACGAGTGGCTGAGGGGACAGAATAAAGGCCAGTCAAACTGGACTGAAATTATAGTGCAATTCTGTCATCATTTACTCACGCTCGTTCACATAATCACGTTTCAAAAAGTCCAAAAATACATGGTAGAAAACAATTCAATAAATTAAATCTGTTCATCATATAAAGCGATCGTGTCCCATCACGAGACTTGGAGCAAACTGCTCGATTCATGTATATTTTGATATATCTGTTTTTCAAAACTTGAACAAAAAGGTTTTTTATTATGGAGCAAGAGGAGGGTGAGTAAATGCTGCCTTCAAGTGTTTGTGGGAAAAATGATATGGAAGTCGTCTAAAGCAACAAATGAATGATATAAACATATATAAATGATTAAAGTTATTCATTTCAACTACAACTAAATGAGACTTTACACCATTCTCAACAGAGACGACCTTTCACCTCACTGATCTCTATGTTCAGATCATAGATATGTTGTATGATATTATCTACAGTTTAGATCAGTGTTACCGCCATATTTCAAATTGACGACATCACAACTTTAAATCCCCACGAGTAAACCTGGCAAATATTGATTGGCTCTTTGATGAATTGTTTTTGTTTCTCGTTTTGGATAAAAGCATCTGCTAAATGCATAAAAGTAAATGCTCGGTCATGCAGGGCCGCTGATGATGTCTCTGAGACCTGGAGCTAAAGCTCTCGACTCGACTGAAGCAGAGACTCCGGCCAATCAGGACGCAGAACACCCCCCTGACATCATCGCACTCGACTCGACTGAAGCAGAGACTCCAGCCAATCAGGACGCAGAACACCCCCCCGACATCATCGCAGACCTACAGGACTGGACGGAGGACGACACTGAGAGCTACGACTGGATCTCCTCACGCACATGCTCAGATCTGAGCCGGGCCGAGCCCGCAGAGGTCAGACGCAAACAGAGGTCAGGTCACGTGGTTTTCTCAGAGGTCAGAGGTCATAACGCTGTGCGCTTGAATCTCGCAGGTGTCGTGTCACCAGATTCAGAATCTGCAGGAGCAACTCGAGCAGAGAGACGAGAAAATACGACAACTGGAGCTGGAGCTGAAGAACATGCGAAACCACATGAGAGCGTCCTTCTGACGGCAGCCAATCACAGCAGGCACCCAATCACAGCAGCCAATCACAGAAGAGACTGTGGAAAAGACTGAGTCGTGTGAACTGTTGCGAGGAATCGTGTATGTAAATACAGTTTATGTTGATTCATACTGCTAAACTTCACGCAGTGATTGACAGGGTGGATGGGGCGGGGCAACTTCACGCAGTGATTGACAGGGTGGATGGGGCGGGGCCAACTTCATGCAGTGATTGACAGGGTGGATGGGGCGGGGCCAACTTCACGCAGTGATTGACAGGGTGGATGGGGGCGGGGCCAACTTCATGCAGTGATTGACAGGGTGGATGGGGCGGGGCCAACTTCACGCAGTGATTGACAGGGTGGATGGGGGCGGGGCCAACTTCACGCAGTGATTGACAGGGTGGATGGGGGTGGGGGCAACTTCATGCAGTGATTGACAGGGTGGATGGGGCGGGGCCAACTTCACGCAGTGATTGACAGGGTGGATGGGGGCGGGGCCAACTTCACGCAGTGATTGACAGGGTGGATGGGGCGGGGCCAACTTCACGCAGTGATTGACAGGGTGGATGGGGGTGGGGGCAACTTCATGCAGTGATTGACAGGGTGGATGGGGCGGGGCCAACTTCACGCAGTGATTGACAGGGTGGATGGGGCGGGGCCAACTTCACGCAGTGATTGACAGGGTGGATGGGGGTGGGGCCAACTTCATGCAGTGATTGACAGGGTGGATGGGGCGGGGCCAACTTCACGCAGCAATTGACAGGGTGGATGGGGCGGGGCCAACTTCACGCAATGATTGACAGGGTGGATGGGGCGGGGCCATCTTCATGCAGTGATTGACAGGGTGGATGGGGGTGGGGCCAACTTCATGCAGTGATTGACAGGGTGGATGGGGCGGGGCCAACTTCATGCAGTGATTGACAGGGTGGATGGGGCGGGGCCATCTTCATGCAGTGATTGACAGGGTGGATGGGGCGGGGCCATCTTCATGCAGCGATTGACAGGGTGGATGGGGCGGGGCCATCTTCATGCAGTGATTGACAGGGTGGATGGGGGCGGGGCCAACTTCATGCAGTGATTGACAGGGTGGATGGGGCGGGGCAACTTCACGCAGTGATTGACAGGGTGGATGGGGCGGGGCCAACTTCATGCAGTGATTGACAGGGTGGATGGGGCGGGGCCAACTTCACGCAGTGATTGACAGGGTGGATGGGGGCGGGGCCAACTTCATGCAGTGATTGACAGGGTGGATGGGGCGGGGCCAACTTCACGCAGTGATTGACAGGGTGGATGGGGGCGGGGCCAACTTCACGCAGTGATTGAGAGGGTGGATGGGGGTGGGGGCAACTTCATGCAGTGATTGACAGGGTGGATGGGGCGGGGCCAACTTCACGCAGTGATTGACAGGGTGGATGGGGGCGGGGCCAACTTCACGCAGTGATTGACAGGGTGGATGGGGCGGGGCCAACTTCACGCAGTGATTGACAGGGTGGATGGGGGTGGGGGCAACTTCATGCAGTGATTGACAGGGTGGATGGGGCGGGGCCAACTTCACGCAGTGATTGACAGGGTGGATGGGGGTGGGGCCAACTTCATGCAGTGATTGACAGGGTGGATGGGGGCGGGGCCAACTTCACGCAGCAATTGACAGGGTGGATGGGGCGGGGCCAACTTCACGCAATGATTGACAGGGTGGATGGGGCGGGGCCATCTTCATGCAGTGATTGACAGGGTGGATGGGGGTGGGGCCAACTTCATGCAGTGATTGACAGGGTGGATGGGGCGGGGCCAACTTCATGCAGTGATTGACAGGGTGGATGGGGCGGGGCCATCTTCATGCAGTGATTGACAGGGTGGATGGGGCGGGGCCATCTTCATGCAGCGATTGACAGGGTGGATGGGGCGGGGCCATCTTCATGCAGTGATTGACAGGGTGGATGGGGGCGGGGCCATCTTCATGCAGTGATTGACAGGGTGGATGGGGCAGGGCCAACTTCATGCAGTGATTGACAGGGTGGATGGGGCGGGGCCATCTTCATGCAGTGATTGACAGGGTGGATGGGGGCGGGGCCAACTTCACGCAGTGATTGACAGGGTGGATGGGGCGGGGCCAACTTCACGCAGTGATTGACAGGGTGGATGGGGGTGGGGGCAACTTCATGCAGTGATTGACAGGGTGGATGGGGCGGGGCCAACTTCACGCAGTGATTGACAGGGTGGATGGGGGTGGGGCCAACTTCATGCAGTGATTGACAGGGTGGATGGGGGCGGGGCCAACTTCACGCAGCAATTGACAGGGTGGATGGGGCGGGGCCAACTTCACGCAATGATTGACAGGGTGGATGGGGCGGGGCCATCTTCATGCAGTGATTGACAGGGTGGATGGGGGTGGGGCCAACTTCATGCAGTGATTGACAGGGTGGATGGGGCGGGGCCAACTTCATGCAGTGATTGACAGGGTGGATGGGGCGGGGCCATCTTCATGCAGTGATTGACAGGGTGGATGGGGGCGGGGCCATCTTCATGCAGTGATTGACAGGGTGGATGGGGCGGGGCCATCTTCATGCAGTGATTGACAGGGTGGATGGGGGCGGGGCCATCTTCATGCAGTGATTGACAGGGTGGATGGGGCAGGGCCAACTTCATGCAGTGATTGACAGGGTGGATGGGGCGGGGCCATCTTCATGCAGTGATTGACAGGGTGGATGGGGCGGGGCCATCTTCATGCAGTGATTGACAGGGTGGATGGGGCGGGGCCATCTTCATGCAGCGATTGACAGGGTGGATGGGGCGGGGCCATCTTCATGCAGTGATTGACAGGGTGGATGGGGGTGGGGCCAACTTCATGCAGTGATTGACAGGGTGGATGGGGGCGGGGCCATCTTCATGCAGTGATTGACAGGGTGGATGGGGCGGGGCCAACTTCATGCAGTGATTGACAGGGTGGATGGGGCGGGGCCATCTTCATGCAGTGATTGACAGGGTGGATGGGGCGGGGCCATCTTCATGCAGTGATTGACAGGGTGGATGGGGCGGGGCCATCTTCATGCAGCGATTGACAGGGTGGATGGGGCGGGGCCATCTTCATGCAGCGATTGACAGGGTGGATGGGGGTGGGGCCAACTTCATGCAGTGATTGACAGGGTGGATGGGGGCGGGGCCATCTTCATGCAGTGATTGACAGGGTGGATGGGGCGGGGCCAACTTCATGCAGTGATTGACAGGGTGGATGGGGCGGGGCCATCTTCATGCAGTGATTGACAGGGTGGATGGGGCGGGGCCATCTTCATGCAGTGATTGACATTTAAATGATTATTTTGCTACAGTTTTTGCTTGAACATGTGTAACATCTAATCATTTCTGTAATACTGTAAAAATATGTATTCAATTTACATATTAAAAGTAGTGTATGCAATGTAAATGTAAGTTATATCATTGAATTTAAATTTTTGCACCAAACGTTGCACAGATGTAATAGAAATGTAAATTTAAATACAGAAATGCGTTGCCATTTTGCATATTACATTTAAAATTGAATATTGCTACCCATATGCTTCCTTAAACGATAACTATAATGATAACGATAAAATTTTACTAATAGCTTTCACTCTAAGAGAATAATCAATTCCACACCTCAACTGTAACGGTAATGGCACAGAAGAATTATATCACTGGAATCACTTTCAGAACGATTTTTTTTACAGCCAATCAGAATCCATCCTGCTTTAAAGAGTTTGAGCATTTAAAGTGACAGGCGACAAAACTGCAGCACTTATAACAGACAGAGCACTATCGTTCGTTACGATGTGGTCTCATTTACCGTTGCCTGGTACAAGGGCGAAACACTTCACGTAAAAGGAGAGATACACAACCTTATCTCGAGTTTATATCTAAAGTCGAAATTGGCAGAAAAAAAGTAAGAATTGCAAGATAAACTCGGAATTGCGAAAAAAAGTGGGAATTTGGAGATATAAATTTTTGCAATTGCAAGGAATAAAGTCAGAATCGCAAGATAAACTCGTAGTTGCGAAAAAGAAAGTCGTAATTTTGGGATATAAACTTGTAATTGTATAGCCTGGATGCCGATGGAGACTCGATCCATTGAGGAGTGATTATGAGCAGGCAAAAAACGTTCGGGCCAATCAAATTGCCAGGGCGGGCTTTATACGATGATGGACAGGTGATCTGCAGGGACGTAATCATCACGTTATCAAAGAGCGCTAAACTGGTTTCCCTCAGAGATGGAGAATTGAGACGTACAGATTCCTCTGTCGCATCTGTTGTGAAACGAATCGATTTAATAGACGAACAGAAAACTGCAATCAAGGCATTTGTCGATCGGAAAGATATTGTTGCCGTCCTTCCCACATGATTCGGGAAAAGTGTAACTCATCAGCTGACTCTGACGGTCGTTAAGAAGATGGACGTAATGAACAGCCTGAGGTCGCTGTGGTTTCTCCTTTGGTGGCACTCATGGAGGAGTAAGGAAAAGAAACAGCACTCGTTATTTAACTTCTAAAATAAGTCAGTTCTGTAGTTGACAACGGTGCGATGCAAAGTATTTGACTTTGAGTATTTGACTGCATTGCTCTGATTGGTTGTAGGTCTACCGACTATCCAATTGAGTGCAGAGGTTCGGTTAAGACACGCCTCATGAAGCGGTATCAGACTGAGTGTGACGAAGTCAGGCTAGTAATTGTGAGTAATAAAGTCAGAATTGCGAGTTAAATACCTTTTGTTTTCTTACACCGTGGCGCTTAGTTTGAATGTGAGCTTCATACATCACCACAGTATTGCCGACAGATAGACTTGTTCTGCACACCATATTAGACTGATGTGTGTGTTATCCTTCTTGATGTGAACAGGCCTTGAAACACACACTCACCAATAACCCACCAGCATTTATATTAAAAAAAAAGTTTAATAAATGACTGTAAAACATTAAACATCCACTAACAAACACCCAGAACTCCTGATTGTATCATCATCATTACAGTACAGAGATTTCATTACTACATCTACGTGTGTGTGTGTGTGTGTGTTATTGCTCGTTCAGTGCGTCTGTGCTCACACACACAGCAGAGATGCACTTCCATCACACCACAGGAAGTAAACATGATTCATGCACAGCTGCACTAGCAGACGCGAGTCATGTGACAGGAAGTCGATGCTTTCAGACGATTGGCTCACATGTTGATCATGTGATCAGATCTGAGAACAGCTTTTATGAACACACGTTTGGTAACACTTTCTGTGAATCTCATGCTTATAATGAATGATTGCACCATTTATACTTATTTTGAAGTCTTAGTATTTTATCAACATATTTATAACGACTCATTGAGTCCTGCACTGCATTATAGAACACTTAGAGTTCATTTTTAGAATGAATAATCCAGACTCAATGAGTGTTTATAAACGGGTAATAATAAGTATAAATGGTGCAATCCTTCATTATAAGCTTGAGATTCACAGAAAGGGTTATGAAACGTTCTTCCAGTTACAGTAACACATGTTCATTCAAAGTTAATAATAATAATGCACAAAAACATGATTTATACGTCGTTCATGCTGCGTTTTTACGTCTAATGTTTTTAAATGGTTTCAGAGAACGTTCGAAAGTAATGTTTCCATAATGTTTGGAGAATGATATAATGTTAATGTTCACATAACCAAGATCAAATCGTTTAGAAACATTTTAAGAACTGGACGTTTTGAAGAAGAAAAAACATTTTCATAACTTGGCGTTCTTCGCACGATTATTTTAGCTGACACAGAACGCTAGATGCTGGATTAGAGAAGTAACGATGAGCTCCTCCATGATTGTCAGATTGTGATCTCGCGGGATTATAATTGGCTGGCTCTGATTCGCTGATTGTAAATTCGCTTAATTCCATCGTGTCTCACAGTGTCGCATCCAAAGAGATAGAAAATACAATTTGAACGTGCTAGTTGTTCGGTCCAGCATCGCAGACGCGCTTTAACGTGTGGAAGACTAGCGGAGTGATCAAAGCTGTCTGCCGCAGTGCATTCTGGGTAGTGTCTTTGATTCGACCGCTCGTGCTGTTTGGTTTAGAGGTGGCAGTGCCAATCAAAGCTTGACCTTTGACCTTGATACCCTGAGGACTGTAAACTCTCTTGATCTGAGCGAAGACACGCTGACCCCTCATCATCATCATCTTCATCGTGTTTCTGGCGCTCAGTCGCATGTAGTGGTTTCCCACAAGTCTTTGCGGTTAGGCTTAGGAACTTCCCGTTGAACACCTGTGTGTGTGTGTGTGTGTGTGTGTGTGTGTGTGTGTGTGTGTGTGTGTGTGTGGAGAGGACAGTCACGCACAGGAACACAGGAGGGATATTCCTCACGGAGAACGGGAAAGCTGTTTTCAGAGCCGCTCAGATTTCTTCATATTAAACATCCATAATTCTCATTAGAGATTCATTACCGTTTAAATACTGCAGTACAAAACAACAAATACAAATACAAAACTGTATAAAAATACTATCATGACATATAAATACTTTTTAAACAATAGACTGTCACATTACTCGAATGAGAATTTGGACTAATTATGTTTAATTATCATGACATTAATAATGTCACGAGGCAAGAAATCGTTCTGTCCTGAAAACAGACGCTTCTTTATGGAAATATCATTCTCCCGTGTTGCTCGTGACTGTGGATGAATGTGAATATAGTTGCGGCATAAGAGTACACCCCCTTTACTCAGAGGATCAGGACACAATCGAGATTCAATGCAAACTTTTGAATTAAGTTACTTTTATAAGTTGAGTTATTATTTCATCTTGTAGATTGTCTTTTATTAGAAATAGCTTATTAAATTGAGTGCTGAATAATAACATTTTTATTTTGATAAATGATTAACAGTAAAAGAGATGTAAAATTATGACCGTAACTGTACATCAGTAGATCTGTGTGTGTGTGTGTGTGTGTGTGTGTGTGTGTGTGCGTGTGTGTGTGCGTGCGTGCGTGTGTGTGTGTGTGTGTGTGTGTGCGTGTGTGTGTGTGTGTGTGTGCGTGCGTGCGTGTGCGTGTGTGTGTGTGTGTGTGTGTGTCAGTGCTCGTTGGGCATGTGTCTGATGGTGTGGAAGATCCAGTCCATCTTGGTGGTCCAGCCGCCGTGGTGCGCGTCGTTCATCTGCTTGGTGAAGTACTCCAGCGCCTCCTGCTGGCTCTTCTCCAGCGCCAGGGTCTTGCGCAGGTACGAGATGTCGTCGAAGCTCTGCAGCTCCGGCATCCCACAGCCCAGCAGCAGCGAGAACAGGTTGATGAAGAGGCTGGCGTGCTGACGGATGGCCAGATACGCTTTATAGCACATCTCCTGAAACCTGACACACACTCAGAGTGAGGGATACGACACACACCTGTGCTGTACAGTGAGCTGTGTGTGTGTGTGTGTGTGTGTGTGTGTGTGCGGACCTCTCAAACTCTTTGGTCTTGGTACACTCCTGCACACCCTTGCTGATGACGATGAGGAAGTCTTGTGTGAGAACGAAAGGAACTCGCTCTCGTTTGTATCCAAATTTCTTCTTCTTGTGGTCGAGGAAGTGGCCGAAGTCGATGTGGAACAGCTGCGGGAAAACAGGATCACATGATCAGCTGACGGACACATGCATCGGACAGCACATCATGAGGGATCCACTCGGCATCATTGACACTGGACCGCCTGTTCTCAGGGTGGGCCGTGATTGGTTGGCGTACCTGTCCGTTCTCCTTCACCATGATGTTGCTGTTGTGCCGGTCCCCGATGCCCAGGATGAAGGTGGCCACGCAGTATCCGGCGCACGAGCGCGTGAACAGCTCGATGGCCCTGTCGTAGCTGAGGGAGAGACGGAGGGACTGCATCACACACATGATTGGCTTCTTCACACTGGAGTTTCTCCGAAGTTGATCTTAAACGATAACTTAAACCTTTAAGGACAGAACTGTTGAGAGCGCTGAGGTTGTTCATCAGTGGTTTATACTTTTGATTTATTAACTTGTTTTTTGCTTTACAGTAGAATTACCCATGATGCCATACAGAAAAGCTCCACCCACTCCCATGAAGCACTGCGAATGATGCAAGTCTCCATACCTTCTCGAAATACTTCAATATATTGTGTGTCTATGCATGTTCTGCAGTAAACTTGAAATATATTTTGTTTACAGAAATATTCTTTAAATGACTAGATTAATATTTCATCATATTGTTTTTAAGAACGTCGCGTTGCATGTGGAATGTCCTGCTACTGCCGACAAGAGATGATGGAAAACAATAAACGCACACTTGGCCCTGAAGGTAAAGCGCGGGTTCGGTTCGGGTTAGACCGTTACAGAGGACAAGAAAGCAGATCAAGTCCCTCGTTCAGCAAAGGAAAGAATATCATTTTCAGTTTGAGTGACTAATAATCAGATTAACCTGATACAAGTTCTTTTTTAATTTAATGTTATCTGTGTTATATTTCATCTGCAATAATGCGGATTTGTATGAAGATCCATTTGGCCATTAACTTTTAAAAGCATGGTTATGGATTAATATGCGGAGAGTCTCGGGCGCGACTGGAGATCAGCAGAGATGAAGTGAAATGTGGAGGATTAGAACAGTGACGAGATGATTGACAGGTCCGTCTACAGTGTCCGGACGGGACAGAGAGCAGCCGTTAAAGACGCGATCGTACGATGTGATCGTTTGTCCGATCATACCATACTCTGAGGGCGTAGTATAAGGAGGTGAAGTGTGTTTCTTACGCTTCTCCTTTGTTCTTCTCTTTGATCCAGTGGTGCAGTGTGTTGCTGTTGAACTGCAGCGCCCCCTTCAGGCCTCCTTTACACTGAATCTGCATGATGGTGTGCGAGTTCTTCACCACCTCGATGAGGCCGACACAGTCACCGATGGACAGACAGCCGTACGGCAGCATTCTGCACACACACACACACACACACACCAGTTACTCAGCTGTCTGCAAACTGTTGTGATTGGTGGATGTGTGTGAGTAGAGGGCTGTGATTGGTGGATGTGTGTGAGTAGAGGGCTGTGATTGGTGGATGTGTGTGAGTAGAGGGCTGTGATTGGTGGATGTGTGTGAGTAGTGGGCTGTGATTGGTGGATGTGTGTGAGTAGATTGGTGGATGTGTGTGAGTAGAGGGCTGTGATTGGTGGATGTGTGTGAGTAGTGGGCTGTGATTGGTGGATGTGTGTGAGTAGTGGGCTGTGATTGGTGGATGTGTGTGAGTAGTGGGCTGTGATTGGTGGATGTGTGTGAGTAGTGGGCTGTGATTGGTGGATGTGTGTGAGTAGTGGGCTGTGATTGGTGGATGTGTGTGAGTAGATTGGTGGATGTGTGTGAGTAGAGGGCTGTGATTGGTGGATGTGTGTGAGTAGTGGGCTGTGATTGATGGATGTGTGTGAGTAGTGGGCTGTGATTGGTGGATGTGTGTGAGTAGTGGGCTGTGATTGATGGATGTGTGTGAGTAGTGGGCTGTGATTGGTTGGATGTGTGTGAGTAGTGGGCTGTGATTGATGGATGTGTGTGAGTAGTGGGCTGTGATTGGTGGATGTGTGTGAGTAGTGGGCTGTGATTGGTGGATGTGTGTGAGTAGTGGGCTGTGATTGGTGGATGTGTGTGAGTAGATTGGTGGATGTGTGTGAGTAGAGGGCTGTGATTGGTGGATGTGTGTGAGTAGTGGGCTGTGATTGGTGGTTGTGTGTGAGTAGAGGGCTGTGATTGGTGGATGTGTGTGAGTAGTCGGCTGTGATTGGTGGATGTGTGTGAGTAGAGAGCTGTGATTGGTGGATGTGTGTGAGTAGTGGGCTGTGATTGGTGGATGTGTGTGAGTAGAGGGCTGTGATTGGTGGATGTGTGTGAGTAGTGGGCTGTGATTGGTGGATGTGTGTGAGTAGTGGGCTGTGATTGGTGGATGTGTGTGAGTAGAGGGCTGTGATTGGTGGATGTGTGTGAGTAGTGGGCTGTGATTGGTGGATGTGTGTGAGTAGTG